TCTATTTGAGGATTGTGTGCCACTAAGCCATCTATATACCTGGTGGTATTGATAATCGTGGTTGACTTTGGCTAATTTTTGCTTTTTTAACCTAAGTTCATTCTTATATTTATTAATGTCATCCTGTAATTTAAGCATTTGCGTGGTTGATGCTGCAGATTGTAACGCTAACGTATTAGTCGTCTCAAACTCTTGAATAGATTGTTTCACCATAATTAATTCTTTGCCAACCTCTTCAACCACTATTACCATCCAGTCTAAGGAGCACTTGTTTGCGATGTTCATCCACTTTTTACAAAAGTCTGGATTCTGCCTCCCAATAGTCGGTAAGTCTCTATTAATGTTTATCTATATATAGTCACTGTATATATGACATTATTGATCTTGAAAAAGGCCCTTTGTGGGTCGAAACGTTGATCACTATATTTTTGGCATATGTAACTTGCACGTTGGAATAAATTAATCACTTGTTAAAGAGCTGTGAGTGCACCTTATACATTATTTTTGGTATCTATATATATATATACACACACAAAAACAAAAATCCTTGCACTCCTGGTACCAATATAGTTCTTGCCCGGTGCTGATCCAGCAAAAAGATGCAAATGTTACAGTAAACGGACAGAACTCCAGGGACTTTCAGATGAAATAAAATTTAGCTTTTAATTCAAATAAAAAAAAAAAAATACACATCAACATTTCGGCTCTCCTTTGGAGCCTTCTTCAGGATGACAAACATAACAAAACAGTGTCTACATATATACATAGAAAAAATATGTGCTTACCATTCCTATGTGAGTCAGAGATAGTGCCCGCCAAAAAATTCACGAGAGAGACCGATCCGCCCAGACTGCCGAGAACTAGGCTCTTTCCTCTGCTTGCCGATCGGTTCCTCTGCATAACAGCTTGCCGATCGGTTGTTTGCGGAGAACCGGATTGACAGAGCAATCATCCTCAGCCAGCGCTAACCGCTGGTGCTGGGAAGGGCTACCTTCTATCGCTGACTCACATCTGAATATAAAAATGAAATAGACCGGTGTAGGACTAGTGCTGATATGGATATTACACGTGATGAGAAGCTTCACACTAAAGAAACATAGATGTATACTTCTATTGTTATCTCAATACATATGCTCAGATTGTCAGAGTAATATGAAAAGATGGTGATGACAGATAAATAGAAATAGTGACTATAATACATGTATGTTGCACATAGAAGGCTTATCAATAAACTGCAATCTTTAAGTTTGGATTCCAATATTGTTGAATGGGTAAGGCAGTGGCTGAGTGACAGGCAACAGAGGGTTGTAGTTAATGGAATATATTCGAAGCTTGGACTTGTCACCAGTGGGGTACCTCAGGGATCTGTACTTGGACCCATTCTCTTTAATATTTTTATTAGTGATATTGCAGAAGGTCTTGATGGTAAGGTATGTCTTTTTGCTGATGATACTAAGATATGTAACAGGGTTGATGTTCCAGGAGGGATAAGCCAAATGACAAATGATTTAGATAAACTAGAAAAATGGTCAGAATTGTGGCAACTGACATTTAATGTGGATAAGTGCAAGATAATGCATCTTGGACGTAAAAACCCAAGGGCAGAGTACAGAATATTTGATAGAGTCCTAACCTCAACATATGAGGAAAGGGATTTAGGGGTGATTATGATGACTTAAAGGTAGGCAGACAATGTAATAGAGCAGCAGGAAATGCTAGCAGAATGTTTGGTTGTATAGGGAGAGGTATTAGCAGTAGAAAGAGGGAAGTGCTCATGCCATTGTACAGAACACTGGTGAGACCTCACTTGGAGTATTGTACACAGTACTGGAGACCGTATCTTCAGAAGGATATTGATACCTTAGAGAGGTTCAGAGAAGGGCTACTAAACTGGTTCATGGATTGCGGGATAAAACTTACCAGGAAAGGTTAAAGGATCTTAACATGTATAGCTTGGAGGAAAGACGAGACAGGGGGGATATGATAGAAACATTTAAATATATAAAGGGAATCAACACAGTAAAGGAGGAGACTATATTTAAAAGAAGAAAAACTCCCACAACAAGAGGACATAGTCTTAAACTAGAGGGACAAAGGTTTAAAAATATCAGGAAGTATTACTTTACTGAGAGGGTAATGGATGCATGGAATAGCCTTCCAGCTGAAGTGGTAGAGGTTAACACAGTAAAGGAGTTTAAGCATGTGTAGGATAGGCATAAGGCTATCTTAACTATAAGATAAGGCTAGGGACTAATGAAAGTATTTAGAAAATTGGGCAGATTAGATGGGCTGAATGGTTCTTTTCTGCCGCCACATTCTGTTTCTATGTAACTAGTAGTGTCCACTGACACAATAAACAGAAGGAAACAGAACTAAATACTATTGTTGCAAAAAAAGTACAAAAAGTAACACCTCAAGGAAGGCAGCAGTGATACAGTGTCAATCACTCAGAAAAAGATACATCACAGAGCAGTGAGTGTAATATGAACTGTTACAGAGG